AAGTTGTACATTTGTTTATTTTATTTTATGAGAATTCATCTCAGGAGGAAATTGCGAAAATGCCACAAGACGAATTTGACAAGCAGAAAACCGGTCTTATTACCCGATTGCTCGAGAAACCGAAAACTCTGGGAGCACGATCGAGACGCTTTTGGAATGAGATAGATTGCAGGCAGTATGATTTCGACAGGAGTGGGTTTTGTCTGTTCACACAGTCTTTGGTATTTAATTCTTTTGAGTAGTTCACTGTAAACTCACATTTAATTTGATTGGTTGGGGAATGTGATTTTGCGCGAATGCATAATGCAAGTGCAAGATTTTTGGTCCCTAAACAATTTGGAGACGACAGTTCGTACAGTTTAATAAACTGGTCGTAGATCACAGTAACAGCCAGCAATTAGCTTTCTCATTTGAGCTCTGCTTTTATGATAGGAGGGTTCCTTGTAAGGAGTTAAGGGATTTCTCGGTGACAACGTTCGTTCTGATTGGAAAGATCTGTTGTATCCTTCGTTATGAGCAAGTGGTTGCAGCAACGTTGCTTGCAGTTTGTAACGTTGATACTTTTCACTTTCGTATTTTTTGTGCAAAATTTGTATTTCTAGATAATTCCGAAGTGGAAGTCTTGAAAACGGTCACCAAAGAAGATCTCCTCTCTTATTTCGATCTCAAATTCACCAGAAATGCTCCTGAGCGGCGTAAGGTGAGTCTGTTAACTTCGTCCTTATTTACCTGATTCTTGATTTACATAAATTAGACAGCTCACTTTCCTCATTATTTCCCGTTAGCTTTTCGGATCAAAATCCTTTTATCTTAGATTGCTGTATTCGTGCACGGTAAAGGCGAGCAGAGGGACGGAATGGTGGAGAAATCGAGAGCGAAGAGGGAAATTGCTGGCAAAGATAAACTGGTAGGTGACGCTACTAGGATCTGTTTATCTTAAACTTTTGACTTCTGCCGTATTTCCATTTTTACACTAATATGTATCGCTATATCTTTAGAACACTAATTTAAATTATTCACATTATTACTTGTATTTCTTGGATACTTATAACTTTATTATTTTTTATTTTAATTATTTGAACATTCAATTTTAATCATTTTCTTTCACTTTTTTCTCTTACTTGTCTTTTTATTTTTTATCTTATGAAAGTATTATCTACATTCAGTATAACCACCTTTCATAGACTGAATCCTAGTTAGATTTTTATGGTTTCAGGAAGAGGTCGAATGTATGGAACAGTTCCGAGAGTCATTATCGCTTTATGGTCGCCCACGGCCCAAGATGAATCTGCCGCCGATTGGAGCTGAACCGTTGTCGTCTTTAGCAGCTGGAGATGCGAAGGCGAAGTACTGATGAAATATATTTTATCATAAATGATTGTTAAGGTCTATTTGTTTGATTAATTGATTGTTATTGCTTCTTGTCAGGATCACTTGTTGCTATTAAGCACCGAAGGATTTTGTTATTATTAAGATTTCGATTTTGCCTGAATATTTTTCTCTCAGTGTTGAAGTGTTGTGCACTATTTCCAAACCTTTAATTGAAGTGTAGTTGCACAATTTCAAGCCTATTAGTCAGGTTTGAATTGTGCCTAGGATTTGTTGAGTTATGAATGAATCAGTAAGCCGTTGTAGGCTGATAAAAGAGGGAGACTGGCTAATGTTCAATCATCATAAATCTTTTAAAAGTTGTTTTTCTTCCTAATCTACCTGGTAATATGTTAAGTGTGAAGTTAACTCTAGTTTTCTGCTGTAGATTATAATTTTTCTTTGAGTACCCGATAAATATTTTTGAAAACGTTTCCTCAGGGTAGTTAGGGCTTCTCTTAGCCATCGACTTGCAGTCGAGTCTATCTCCTGGAAACTAGTTCCATAAGAGATAGTCATGTTTTTCTTATTTTCTCATCTTTCATTCTTTTCCATACGAGCTTACTTCTTGAGCAAAAGTCACTGCAAGAAATATTGACAGCACTCTGGTAACTGGTTGCAGTCATAGTCTGCTTGGGCACACTGTCAAAGGATGTTTGCTTAACTCCACCCCTAGCTGCCCATGCAGTCAATGTTCTGTATCGGTTTACCGCGGTCCGGGTGTGACCAACGCCCAATCGGTTCGGCGGTCTTTAACGCTAGCTATGAGTGCAGCTATTAATGGTTGGCAAAGTTTCAATGCAGTCTGCTTGCTGTCACCGCTGCTTCTAAAGAATAAAGGCTGACTCAGTTATTACTAAAGGAGGGCATGAGTTTTTCAAAAAATCAATCATTCAAAAAATTCCCGGAATTTCTCAATTGAATTGCTCAAAGTGGCTTGTACCGTTTTTGATGAATAAACAAGATGGTAGTGATAAGCGAAGTTCCTTCTGTAATTTGAATGAAAGAGGCTTTCCAAGATTTTCTGTGTGACAGGGTTGGTGGCCAGAAGACGACAGATTAGGAGGATCTACAATTCATCTTCGATTGCATGTTGCTCAAGATTAATCGTAGATTTTTTATCACTATGTAGTGAAGGGTGGATTCGGAAGGGGTTTTCTGTATCCCTGGTCCTCATAATAAAATAATGGGTGTTTCTTCAGCACAACTGTCTAACAGGTTTGTGATGATAACCATTGTAGTATGGTAAATTAGCTCTTCAAAGAGAGCCTCTCCTGTGAACCCTTCGTATTATTATCACAATCAATACCGTAGATATAGATTTCTATAGGATTTGGAGCGCATATTTTCAAAAAAAAACTCGTTTTACTTATTTTGTAATCAGGTTGATAAGGGTGATAATCCAGTGTAAATGGCAATTTTCAGAAAATAGTCGAACTCTTTGTTGCTAAATTTTCCTGTCATCAAGTCTAGGATGAAAGCCGATTTTCATTTGCGACAATATGAACGGAATCATGCGGCTCCATGCCTAGAAACCATTTGGAAATCGACGGCATATGATAAAAGGTATGGTCGAAATTAGTATCTTTTTTCACTCATTGAGAGTTTCTATTCTTTTTCAACTTTTTTATATGAATTAGCATTCGAAACCTCTTACCTTGAAGTCGTGCCGAATAACCTGAATGTTTGGCGAAAGTAACACATCCCAGAGCATCCTCTTATTAATGTTTGATTTTTTTACATTTTCTGATGTACGACTGTTTTAAATAATGTTCAGTGGTACGTGCAAAGTCTCACAGGTTTGCTCAGAACTGTTCTGTAAATGGGTAATGACGAGATTCGAAACGACAGCGGAGTTTGCTGATCAGTGAAGTGTTTCGAATTTGATTGATTGCAGCTCTATTTTTTTTTACAATTCCATTTAATTTGATTTTCTCTGCTTGCTTTCAGACTTCAACGTCCGTCCGTCCGTCGGTCCTTCAGTCGCGGCGTGCCATGTTGGCGGTTCTAGACAGGTGTTGACAGTGCTGGATACCAATCGATACCGTAAGACAGGGATGACTAATTTCATCTCGGTATCCGGCGCTGTCAACACCTGCCTAGCATGCACGCGACGGGCGGACGGACGTTGAAGTCACAAAGCAACCTTTCAATTTTCCTCGAAATTGTTCGCCACAGTCAGATTTCGTTGAAATTTTCTTTACGAAGGTTGTTTATTTCTGAGCCCTACATTGCAGTTATCAAAATCTGGTATCTCGCGTCCGCGCTACTGACGTCAGTACCATGACGCCATGCTTTACCAAACCCGATAAGAGCTTCTTTAAGAGTTTGTTGTGTTCGAGCTTATCGGGTGTTATATTTGTAATGAGCGGTCAAAGTTCCTTCAGGGCACGGTTTCCGGTTTATTTGGCATTTAAGGTATTTTGAGCCGGGTTTTAGTAGATGGCATAGTCTCGTTCAGTAGGCCAAATACCTTTCACACATGGACTACCGTAACACATAGTCTACCGTAACAATCCTTCGTCATCGACTGAACTTCTTTGGGCACATGGTTCATGGCGCAACCCCACCAAAGCGGGATTATCTCAACGTGATTATAGATAATGTGCGAAGTTGACACCTACCCCTCTATTTACTTAGACCTTCAATTGTAAACAGTATCAAATTTGCAGTAAATATAATTTCATAACCAAAACATTACTAGTTCAATAAATGATAATGCCATAGGATCCATTTCTTAGTCCTAATCTTTATAGGAGTAATCACCAAGCGGTAATCTTTGTTCTTTCCTGTTAAGGCGTTTGTTGATATGATTTCTACGAAATCTCATTCGACTCGGCGTTGCGAGAACTGCTTGGGTGTTAGTCGATGTGTGGAGAGATTACGACGTTCCTTTTCTGCCCACTCATGTTTTTATGTCAGCTATTTCTCATTCTTTTCTGATAATATCATTTGTCTTGTGAAAAGAAGGGAATATCATTTCATGATGTCATTAACTTTATATGGAAAGNGAATCGCAATTCTCTCTCAAAAGCTCTTCCATGGCCGTTGCCGTCTATTACTTCGTTCAGACCTGCAAAGTCCGCTTCGAAGAATAGGAGGGTGCCACCTTTTGCTTTAACTTTGCACTTCACAATTTTTTGCGACCTCACTGGGTAAATGGCTATGCTGGTTGTCATTGGGTACGGGGTAGGGATATGATGTCAGTTTGTGTCTAAATTAGGAGTAGAGAGATTTCCCCTTAACTTCCCTTAATTGTATGCCTAACTTTTACTTTTACTGAACAGCTCTGATTCACCGAATACTATTGGGTTTATAAGGCGAAACGATTCATGAGAAATTCATATGAGAACAGACCACCTGCGTTGCATTCCGAGAATTTGAACTGTCAGAAGTAGTGACAATCCAGCTTGAGGCGAATTTTATGAGGAGGCTAAATGTAATGATGTTCTCTGAATTGTATCGCTTCCCTAGGTTTCTCATGGTTATGCGAACAGTGGATCGATTATCGATCGCTTGCCTATTTTAGCCTATTTAGTCAAGAAGCAGGGCTGAGAATAAAGTGAAAGGCCTTAGAACATAACAGATTAGAGTTCAGAAAATAAATACAGCATTCTGACAGCATCAAGCATGTGTTAGTTGTATCACAAATGAAAATCAAGGAATATCACGCATTCGTGTGAATCACATTTTAGTTTGGTAATAAGCTTTACGGGAGGGGGACTTTATTGTCGTCTGTAAAGTTTTAAGCTCCGTTCTGGTTCGCAATTCCCAACGCAGCTCTAGATAGCGATTAATTCGTGTGTGAGAGAGAGAACGATCATTTCAAGCAGACGGCAGGTGACTAGGCAAAAATTCGTAATGGACAAATCAAGGCTTCATAATGATAGATTGAGGACCGGTTATCCGTCCACTCAGCCACTACCAATACTTGCTAATCATATACCGATTAATGAGTCGTCTTACTACAGAGTTTTTACTCACGCCAAGGGGGTGCTCGCATAGCTTGATCTATCCATTGGGGTGTATGCCAACAGGGGCGGAGTTTGTGCGAAATAACTATTTGGCGGAAAATCATGGCTGCTGTTCCCGTGTACCGAGAAAGTTCAAATTTGCTAGGAGTACCCGAGGCAGGATGGAAACCTTGTGGTTAGGGACAAGACCAGACCCCTCCCACAGGAGGCGGGGTTTGCGCAAAATAAGGGTTTGAATGGGCGGATCTTGAATAGAAATTCATAACTTTTGTTCCCGTGTACCTAGAGCGTTCGATGAGTTTTCTATCTAACTTCGCGTCCGAAATAGTATGTATCATTTGTTGCGATGAAGGAGTGGGCCAGATAGCTGGTTCGTAAAACGTCATAGGATGGAGGGAAGCTGGGTTTAGCCGGGCGACCCGAGTGGTTTATATAATTGGTAGTAACAGGTTTGGATGGAGAGTATTACTAAAACTGTTTCCTTGATTCATATGAAAGTTCAGTTCTCTCTTTTCTACTCCTATGTTCTATCCGAATTCTGCGAAATTCCTGCTGGTAGCCGAAAAACAGTTTCCTGGGACAAAGAAATCAAGCTAATATGTTATATTTGTTATATCTGTGCTTCCTTGTGGGAACGCCTTTTGTTTAATCTCATTAGAATCGAAGAGGGCTTAAGTCAACTGTTTTGCACGTTTCATAAGGTCTCCATCAACTATACCCCTAGACTATTATGACTACTATATATCCTGCCCCCTTTTCCACTACTTTTCAGCCTTCTGGTTGTAGTTTCCGACATGCAGAACACATAACGCCAAACTCGGCAGGCATTTTTCCGGGCGGGATTTATATTTTAGTAGTTTTCTAGGGAAGCCATTACTTTACCCTCAAGTCTTTCGAGACTTTTTCTACGAATACGTTTTTTTCCTGATCAGCAGGAAATTTTCTTTCAATCTCTGTGATTCTTTTTTCGGAGTTATTTGCTATTTGTACATTTAAGCTATTTCTTTGTAATCTTATCCGTTCTAATTTTACTTCATTTCAGGGCTCATCGTCCATTTTTGTAGCACCACGTCTCTGATTCATATCAACACCGGCACCTCAAATAAAAATGACTAAAGACATTGTTCTCAGTAGACACAACGATATTGTTAAAAGTGCCGAAGATCAACGACAGGTGAATGGATTTTGTGCGTCTTTTATAGGGATTATATGTACCGTAATTTTTTTCAATGCTTTACAAGAAAAATCGCTTTTTAAGTGATTGATTCCACTTCCGATTTGATTCCATTATTTGAAGCTGGAGTCGAATGCGTAGGGGCATCCGTCAGACGGGATTGATCAACGCCCCAAGACTTTCTCATTTATCCTTTTTTTGGAGCTGACCTTCGGCACTATCGGTTTACTCAGCTCTCCTTTCGAAGCCTTATAAAAGCTCGAGTCTTTTCACGCTTCCTATCAGTGGTGTATCAGCACATGGCGATATGGCAGATGCTTAGATCGCCATATCATCATGCGACACTTTTTGGAACATACTGATAGCAAGCGATGCAACCATATAGGGTTTCTGACTAACTTTTAATGATGATGTCGGAGAATGCTGAAAGTTTTGACCCATTTTTTGTCAATTGCTATTATTCGCCACAGTACGCGACCCGAAAGTCTCATCAGGCTGGCGAGTTGTGGCTAAACATCGACCTTGGACGAGACTCGAACCGGTTCTTGTGCTTCCAAGAGTACTAGTACCGTTCGAGACCAAAATTTTGCACATAATTCGCCAGCCTTGCGATTGCAGAGAGTATCTTTGAAATCTGCTATTAGTTTGATGACGTCATTCAGATTTGACAGCCTTGTTTGTCCGAAACGTGTGTTTTCAGTATCGAGGACTGGAACTCACAAATGGCCTCAAGGTATTGCTGGTATCCGACCCAACGACAGATAGTTCTGCTGCCGCTATGGATGTTGGTGTCGGTCAGTGCTAATCTTTTTTAGCTTACGAAGAGCCTCTAGATGTTCATTTTCGAGACTGGGCTTGGTAGAAACTCAGTGATCATGTTTTCGAATTTCAGGATATCTCATGGATCCATGGGAACTGCCAGGATTGGCCCATTTCTGTGAACATATGTTATTTCTGGGTACCGATAAATATCCTTTAGAGAACGAGTTTAATAAGGTTCGTTGAGTACAAGTTTAGTCAGTTTTTCGCATTTCATCAAGTTAGAAAAGTCATGTTTAGTTTATTTCTGCTCACGCCGGTATCACGAACGCGTATACGGCGACTGATCACACAAATTACCATTTTAATGTGAAGCCAGATCAATTAGAGGTACGTCCTCATATGAAGCTCGCAGTTTTTTTATTCACTTTGTTCCAGTTTGTTGTTAAAACCTCTTTGGTATTCAGGGCGCGTTAGATCGTTTTGTACAGTTCTTCTTGGCCCCGCAATTCACAGAAAGTGCCACTGAGAGAGAGGTTAGTGCTTTTCGTTTGTTTCCGACTCACTATCTGCATTAAGCAAGTTCTTAAGGTGTGTGCGATTGACTCGGAACATTCTAATAATATGAAGGATGACAGACGGCGGAAGTTGCAAGTAGAGCGGTAAGATTTCAACAATTGCCATATTTCGGTGGGAGTTAAATAAACGTAATAGGAGAACAGCAAGTTCTGTAGGAAAGACGGATATGTTGTGACTGTTAGGGACTGATGCCAACGTTATGAGTCTTCACTTTTGCATAACTTTCGTATTTTTCGATCTGAGCAGTCATTTCATGCGTCTACCGATAACTGTTTGCTCTATGTGAACTAATCTTTCAGATTCCTCTCCAAGCCAGGCCATGACTATGGAAAGTTTGGGACAGGCAATAAGGTGAGCATGATATTTGTATTCTATTGTGTGTTCTGCTTAAGTGAGAATTGCAATCTGCTATATTTCTCCAAACTGTATAGTTATCTTAATAAATACTGATTATAGAAAACATTGATGGATGATGCTCGTAAAAATGGAATTGAACCGAGGGAGGCATTGTTGAATTTCCACAAGCAGTGGTATAGCGCTAATATGTGGGTTATTTTTTGAATTCTCTACATTTGTATTTGAAATTGCAAGTTTCAGTTAAGCAGAACAACCATTCAAAATTGTTTTAATTGAGAATGTCTTCTATCAGAAGTCTTCTATCAGAAAAAAAGTATTTTAATCTGACTGTATTGCTTATTATGGAATATAGCCTTGTTAAGTGGTTGTAGTGGTTCCCACTCGCTGCTTCTTCCCATTAACTGATAGTCACTAGAAGTTTGTTGTAGTATTGTTGTTACTTTAGCATGTCGCTGTGCATTGTTGGGTCAGAGTTGTTGGATGAAATGGAAGCTTATCTTGGCACGTTGGGCTTCGATGCTATTGAAAATAAGCAAGTGAAACCAATGGAATGGGAAAATCCTTATGGACGGGAACAGTTAGGTAGACGCGTCGAGGTTTGTTCATCGTCTTTAATTAATTTTCAATTCATTTGAAATGTTGGCGACAAGAGGGAAATTAAGGATACATGTAAATGCAATGCCATGAGGCGGTTTTCCTAATTTATGCTTCCATAGTGGTGGAGATGGTGTAGTTCAAGTGGCGCACTCTCTCACACGAATGATCAGGGGTTCGAATCTCGGATCGATATTCGCATAGGCCAACCAAGCCTTCCATCCCTCGAGGGTTGGTTAATTGGTACCAGACTCGCCTGGGAGGATAAAAGCACTGACTTGTACATCGGCTGGCCACCGCAAGCCATTGTATAGGCCACATACTTACTCATTACGCCACTACGATTTTGAATGGAAGTCGGGTGCGGAGGCTGATCCCTTAGATGGGATTGTTTAACGCCAAAAACTGAAAGTTTACTTTATGCTTCCATTCACTCGCATTTAGCCGTGACATATGTTTCCCAATGTTGCATCACACTCTTGTCACTAAAAATCTTCGCTAAGGTTGTGTAAAAGAGGGCGAAAAGATTCGTGCAATTTTAAAAGTATTTAAATAGCTCCTATACCCTTTCTTAAAGGTGGTTAAGTTGCTGCTAAGAAATTCCGAGTAGTTTGGCATCTTTCATAGTCCACGACCAGTCGCTAGCGACCGGCGATCAGTCGCGCGACTGGTCGCCAGTCACTAGCGACCGATCGCGCGACCGGTCGTGGACTATGAAAGATGCCTTTGGGATAATTCCGTTCGTGAATGTAGGTGACTCTCATCGAATTTAATCACATAATTGTATTTGTAATTTGTTTTCTCCACCATATTTTCAATTTAGATTGTACCTATAGAAGACATACAAAAACTTGCGATTCGGTTCCCAACCAAAATGATTCGCGATCCAGCTGACTCGCAAGAAGAGAAATCGAGTCCATCACGTTATATCTGTAAGCTTCCCTTATTTGCAATTTGTTTAGCTTTCCTTTTAAAAATATGTGATAATCTGACTAATTTGTATTTTTTTATTATATTTATGAGCTGCTCTTGTTCGACGCCTTTTCTTTCAGCTCATCTATTGAATCATGAAGGAAAAGGCTCCCTGTTATCAGAACTAAAGCGTTTGGGTTGGGCTAGCTCGCTCTCGGCTGGAAGATCCAATCCGGCCGAAGGAATGAGCACATTTGATATTGATGTTAATCTGTGTGCTGGTGAGTTCAATGCTAATAACCAGTCGGGTGGCCCGGCTTACGCCGGGGCTCATTCCACGCTTTTGCCGCTTTTACAAGTAATTAGAAAATGTAGTTAGAAGGGGGAGGGNGGGGGAGGGAAGGATATCGCTTTTATTTAGTGCAGAGAAAGATGGGTAGCCGACGTTACCTGTGCTTCGAGTAGGTCCTAGGCGAAAGAGTATTTTTCACCTCAGGAGGGGTAGAGGTAAAATGATTACCTCGTGGAGACGTTCCTGGGGTCTTTGGGCTAAACTTGTTATTTCCACTCTAGCGCTCAATGTTGAAGGAAAAGCGGACGTCTCCTGCACTATCAACTCCTCCGATTTTTGTACAGACATTCATAGCATGATGCCAGTGCAGAGCTAAATCACAGTTTTGAAGTACCTTCTCCACTCCACATTACTCACTTCACTCCGCAGTACAAACTCTAATCCATTAGCGTACCCACCACCAAGTTACTGTCTTATATATAAGAAGGAAATGCAAGCTCAGTTTTCCATATCACTAAAGTTTCATGGACGGACGGACAGACAAACACACAAACCGACATACAGTAGTGCTCAAAAGTATTCGACCAACACTAACTTGCCGTAACTTTTTTCCCAATGGAGCGAATCACATGAAATTTTGATGTTTAGCTGAAGCATATTTTACGCTGTCCATCACTACTTGACTGCAAAACAGCCATATCCACATACGAATGGGGAGGCTTTTGTAGACTGTGCTGAAAGTTTGTGACGTCTGCAGTTATTCCGACCTTGTGTACGTTTTTCTTCTCTTCTGGGTTCGACATTAGAGCTCGTAAACTTGAAACATGGCAAAAAAGGAAAGACTCTTAGAAGGACCGTCATTCGTATTTTCTGTTGGTTTTTTGTTCAAGCCCTTTTGGATATCTGGAACATGATCAGATTGCAGGTGAATAGTGGTTAATATTCACACTACACCAATGCTACACATATTGAAATTTCGCTTGATTAGATCCAGTAGGAAAGGAGTTATGACTGAAAAGTACGAGAGAAGAAGCATTTGGCCGAA